CTCAACCCCCTGGCCAACCCGCTGCCGGGCACCCCGCACCCGCGGTGAGAGCGCGGCCGTGCCAGTCAGCGGCCCCGCAGCCTCCCCGCAACCGACCCGGCCGCACGGAGGAGGAACGGAGCGACCCAGGGGGCGAGTAGCGAGCCCCGGAGCCACCCAGGAGGCGAGTGCACCAGAGCAGGGACTCTGAGAGCCATGACCCCAGAGCTGCTGCAGTAAGTGAAACAAACCCACCCCCGACCCGAACCTCGAGACCTTCTTGCCAGGCGGGAGACGCGGGACTTAGCGCTTGGACTGAGAGACAGCCAGCCGGGCAGGGGCCGGCCACAGACTCTGAGGACAGAGAGGTCCCCGGCCTGCCCCTCCCCGCACGGCCCGGCCGGAGGCCAGCAGGCCCGGAGGACTGTGCGCTGCCCTCCCCGCGGCGCTCTGGGGCGGCGGCGTGGCCCGAGCTCGGAGCCGCGGGCCTCGGGCGGACTGCGCGCCGAGCCAGACACCCTATTTATTATCTGTTGTCCAAAACCAATCACTTCGGTACCTTAGTTAAAAAAAAAAAAAAAAAAAGAAAAGAAAAGAAAGCAAGAAAGCAACCGCCATGATCTGTGCCCCCGCGCCCTGCCGTGTCTGTTCGGATTCAGTACAATAAATTGCTTAGATGGCGACATTTAGATTTTTTTTAATTTTTTTTTTTTTGGTGACTGAAAGTGACGAGAGAGACAGAGAGAAAAGGAGGAAAAAAAGAGAAATAAACTTTATCTTTTTGTAACAAACGTGGGGCCGCAAGTCAGCTGATTTTTCGTGCTGAGCACCGGGTGGGAGCCGGCTGGGCCCGGGCTGTGCGTGGCAGCCCGCAGCGCCTCCCCGCCCTTCTGCTCTTGAGCCTTGGCAGGGGGATGCGGGGGCCGAGAAGGGCCTGGGGGAGCGAGGGACAGGGCTGGCCTTGCGGCCGTAGCTGGTGTGTGCTCGTGTCCCCGAATATGCAAGAGGGAGGCGGAATGGGCTTGTGGGGTGGGGTGACCTGGTGCCTGGGAAACGGGAATGCGGCGCCCCCAGCCTGGCAGCTGTTCCGGAGCAGCAGTGCTGGGGACAGCGAGCAGGCCAGACAGCAAGCGTGAGGAGGCTCCGGGCGGGCAATTAGGGACACAGAGAGAGAACATCCCGGCAGATCCAGGGCGCAGATCCCTGCCTCCCGCAGCCGGGGCCGCCCGCGCCCCGTTC